ATCGGAGATGAGTTCACCTTCCTTCATTTGCAATGCTTCAAATTCTCCTCTTAGAGTTTGAAGACGTACCTTCTTGACTTGATCGGCACCTTTGTAAGAATTTCAAAGCTTCTCCCATGCTTCTTTGGCCGATGTAGCTTCAACGACCTTCTCGAACGTATCTTCATCTAAACCTTGATAGATTAGACAGAGAGCTTTCTTGTCTCTCTTTCTTGAGTCTCTCAAACCATCCTTTTGAGTTTGAGAGAGACTACCTTCATTATCCGGTTCAATGAAACCTTTCTCGACTATCTCCCACACGTCATGTGCTCCTAGGATAGCCCTCATTCGTAGACTCCAATTATCGTAGTTGCTCTTTGTGAGCATTGGAACTTGGAAGGGAACGTTGTTACTCGCCATCTTTAGGATCTTCAAGCTCTGATACCACTTTGTTAGAGTAAAATTCTTTTAGAGGTAATGGAGAAAGTGTTTAAGTGTTTAAGAGAGAGTTTTAGGAAATAGAACTTTTATTACTTTGATTTTAACTTGAAGACAACTTCATAATCTTACAACAAATGAGAGAGGGAGGAGGTATTTATAGCCTCCAAACTACAAAATATCTAACATATTTTAATCCTAAATATAGAGAGTTCTTACATATTATCTAGATTATAATATTCTAATTATCTAGATTATTCTATAAGCATATCTAGATTATTATGTTTAAAGAGGTGGAAGATGATTCTAGAAAATTTCTAGAACTTTTTAAGGAGGTGGATGTGTAGATATTTCTAGAGAAAACTCTAGAACTTGGATTTGGCCCATCAAATAATTATTGGATAATTGAACCAATAATTAAACTTGATTCAAAATCAAGTTTAACTTTCAACAGACACAACAAAAGTGTTTCACTGGACAGTTGTTTCAGTGACTTACCGAAGTTGCCTCCTTCTCCGGGTAACGTTTCCTCTTCCAGTTCGGTTGATGGAGACGAGAATGCTTCCGGCCTCGAGTTTGGTAGCAGTGATTATACTGATGATGAGTTGAAGAAGATCGCGGAGAGTCCCAAACTTCAAGAGGTTAAATCTGATCCTAAGAAAGTCAGAAGGTAGTGAATTTTCGTGACTAAATTATTATTAGTGCTTGTGCTTCTTTTTTTATTATTATTATTTTTTTATCATGGTTTGTGACATTTATTCATATGGATGCTCTTTCAGAATCTTGAAAAATCGAGAGGCAGCGGCACGTTCAAAGCAGAGGAAATTACAGTACATTATTGACCTGGAATACAGTGTAAACTTTCTTGAGAAGAGAAATACTTCAATATATGAAAAGATCAAGCTTTTGGAGGTGAGACATATATATCACATTAGCAACCATAAGCATGGCATGTCTAAATAGTATCTATAATGAATTTGGTAAATTTGTATTGTTTTATGTACATGCAGAATGATAAAACAATAATGATGAATGAGAAGAAGGAAATCATTATTCGAATTGAATCGATGGAGCAACAAGCGCAACTTCGTGATGGTACAGCATCTTAATTTCTATCGATACTTTAGCAAGATTTTTGTATTGCAACAACACCTTAAAAAATCCCTTGCTTTGTAACTGTAGAATATCTGTTTTCATTTCCTCTATTGTTGCAGCCTTGACTGAACAATTGCAAGCGGAAATTGAAAGGCTAAATGCGGTTACAATTTCGAATGAAAAAGGGAATGTGGAAGCCCAACGGCTAACGGAGATAACATGCTTGAACAAAAAATGAGTGCAGAAGTTCAAATGATGGAGGTGGAAACATGTGAAGTATTGCAGAACCGTCGCGAATTCGACAGATCGAACATGCAAGCAATGGACCCAAACATGTTCAATTGGTCGCATCCAAACCCTGGTTTTTATGGATAAATCTAAGGAAGTTGAGGAGACTTTAGAAATTCTATGAGATCAACGGTTGAAGTTATAGTTCTTTTAAGTTGTTTCATAGTATCTAATTTATGTTCTGGGTCATGCTGAGAGTAAAACTGATGGTAACCGTGAGGCTTCCTTCAGACCATATGACCTTATTATTTATGTTTTGTTTTTTCAGTTATGTTATTTTTTCTTCAATAAAGCTATGTCTTATTTTTTACTAGGTCCAATACTCGCCCATACATGTGGGGTTTTCTGTCCGTAATTTTACTTTTCTATAACGATTTAAATAGTTTGTATTATTGTAGTAAACTTTTACCTAATTTATCATCTAAATAATTTGTTAATTTTTGTTTCTCTTTTAACATCTAAGTAATTGATGTTTCTTTAGTTTTTTTTTTCTTTTTTTGGTCAATGATGTTTCTTTAGTTAAAAAAACGATATTTTCTTGAAAGTTATAAGTTAGGCAAATATTTTTATATATTAAAAAAGAAACACTGGTGGAAGCCCCCTTGGCCCATTGGTTGACCAAGGGTTGATTAATGCTTCTACACCAAGAGGTCTAGGGTTCGAGTCCCAGATATTACGATTTATTAACAAATTTGCAGATTAATAGAGGCAAGTGTGCAGGAGATCTCCAGCGATGTACAATTATAGCCGTTCGCCAGGATTCTACGCAGAGAAGGAATTGTCGCCAGGTCGTGGATCATTGAAGGTATTCATCAAGATTATGAAGAAGGAAGTGTAGTCTGTCGTAGATCTAATAAGGGTCGGAAGGAATTGTCAGTTGTAGAATCGTCTATGTAACAGTTCTCATAATTTGCAATTAATAATAAATCTAGACGGCAAAAAAAAAAAAAAAAAACACTGTTGTTGACGTGTCAATCCTACATTTTCTTTTCAGGTTTTTCTAATTGAACTAAATCACTTTATATATTTTATTTTAAAAATCCTAAATTCATATATTTTATTTTAAAAATAATATAGATTTCATTTAAAAGAATTTATTTATTTATTTAAGTATAAATGTCATAACATTCATTTAAACTAAAGTTTGATAATAAAAAAAAATTATATATAAATACAGAAAATATTTTTATATAGAAATGTAAATATTATCATAAAAGCTATTTTAAGATTATTTAATAATTAAAAACAAATTTTATATTTTTGTTCCTCTATAATTTTTTTTTATCATTCTTTTTTTTCTTGAGGAATGAAGAGGAAAAATGTAGGAACCATATGTTTGAAAATGGAACAAAAATTCCTACTCATGATATAGAGAACAAAGAGAACATGACATTTCTAAAGTTATTAGCTCTCACCACCTTACATTGGTTATGAAAGACAAAAAGAGAAGAAAAATGTTGATATGTGTATTTTTCTGGCAACGAATAAATAATTCGGGTAGTTTTCTGGCAAAATTAAATAACTTGGGTTTTTTCCAATAATTTTCCCAAAAAATAGTAACAGCGTCAACGACGGCGTTAACGTCCGTTACGGAGACGAGCGGAAATTGGAAAAAAAAAATAGTTCGTGTTTGTTTTGTCAGCAGTAAATTAGTTTGGGTTTTTTTTCCGGCACCGTAAAAGGTTCAAGTTTTTTTCTGGCAAATATTAAATAGTTAAGGTTTTTTTTTTGGGAATTTTCCCCTAATTAGAGCCTTAGTTTACAAAATCCCTAACACTGTTCTGATTTGTAATGTAGCTATTTCAATATGTGACCCAAAACAGTTAATGCACTATCCAAAACTGATCTTAAATATATACTCTCATCGTTTATATTTCAACATATTCCATCAGGCTCACGTTATGTTAATATGGATTATTTAATTTATTTTCGAGAACACCTTCTGATGTCTATACATCGGTGTTTCCGTGGATTATTTGGTATTTGTGGAAACCCAGAAATGATAAGGTTTATAATAACATGGACCAAAGTCCACCTGATATTTTGCGACTGGCAGAAAATGAGGAGCAAGCTTGGCAGTTGGCTCAAGTAGAGATCTCAGAGGACAACATAGTAGTAACAAATAATTATTCTCATTCTAGAGTAGAATATACAGGGCAACACAATTCAGGATACCGATGTTTCATAGACGGTTCTTGGAAAGAAAGTGATCGCTTTTCAGGAATGTGATGGTTTTGTTCTTATCCAAACGAAGGAACGCAAGACATGGGAGCTGCAAACACTCGAAGAAGCTTAACGTCACTACATACGGAGGTAAAAGCATTAATCTGGACGATGAGATGAATGATCGGCCAAGACAAACGAGAAGTAGCTTTCCTTACAGACTGTTCATACCTAGTGAAGATGGTGTCTTCCCCGAAAGAGTGGCCAGCGTTCGCGACATACTCGGAGGCTATTCAAAGTGACAATATGAATACGAATGTGAAGACGGATAAACTGGCATGAACTGTTCGTACCCAACCGCATCTTACTACTTATGTAAACAATATTCCACAGCATTGACTCATTTGAGTCAATTTAATAAAGTTGTTGACAAAAAAAATCTAAATCTTTAATTACAAAAATATATTAATTCGGACCCTTAGATTGTGAAACTTTGTTATTGGAGAATATTCCACGAGATCAATTTTTGGGATGCACGATACTTGTAGTGAGAAAGTAAATTGTCAACCCTTTAAATAAAATGGTATTCAATTACCAAAAATAAAAAAACTTGCCAAAATATCTCAATAGCAAAAATAAACAGCACACCAAAATGTAAAAATAAAAAATAAAACTTTCTAAAATAGCTCAATATCAAAATAAATAACGTGCCAAAATAACCATTCACTAGAAAAAGTGAACAACACTCCAAAATATAGCAAGAGTAAATAACATGCCAAAGTTTTTAATGTTGAATAAAATTGAGTCAATACCAAAAAATCTTAGATTTATAGATTTTCATTACATTACCTAAAAACAAAGAATTTATTCAAGTGTTTGACTTCAAAATTTAAAAGTTATTTTATTGACAAAAATAAGATTCAAACTTATGGATTTGCAAGATGGAAAAATATTAAATTCTAATGAATGGTGATAAAAACATGAGACTTGTTTGTTATTCTTAACCAATATAAAAGGAGGCTCATGCAAACTATCCAAACAAACAAAATTCATATTCCAATTTTTCAGAGGTTTTTGTTTCAACCCTTTTTCCCTTACTCAACATATCAATTGTGTTTTTGTTCTCCTTTCTCTACAAACTGATGAAAATCTCGATTGCAACCAAATAATCTTCGATAATCTTAATCATAGCATTGTATTGTTCTCTTTTTGGTTATCATTTTTCCCCATTTATCTATTTGATTTTTTTTATTTCGCATGCATGTAAGAAAAAATGTGTTTTACGTAGAAACATGACTTTTAATATGATGCAGATACTTGATTATTGGTCTTCTTCTTCAATCCTTAACAATGAATGGATCCGACAATATCACTCCTTCCGGACCACGTTTGATGACTCAACCTTCGCCTGCCTCCTCCTTGCCCCCGTTGAGCCCTTCTTCGTCATCATTCCGTCGCAATTCATTACCATCGATGATCATTTCTCCGTCAGCTCCTGTGGAGAATAGAGACTCTTCCATTAGGGTTAAGAAAAACCCTTCATTGCTTCCTTTGGATGTGAAGAGAAGAGCAGAGAAAGACATTGAACCTTTAAGGAGACACAATAGGAGTGTTTCAATGGATAGTTTTTTCAATGACTTACTGAAGTTGACTCCTTCTCAGGGTAACGTTTCCTCTTCAAGTTTGGTTGATGGAGACGAGAATGCTTCCGGCCTCGAGTTTGGTAGCAGTGATTATACTGATGCTGAATTGAATATGATTGCGGAGAGTAACAAACTTAAAAAGATAGCATCTGATCCTATGAGAGTCAGAAGGTAAGTGAAATTGCGTGACTAAATATTATACAATGTATGGTTTGTGTGACATTTATCAATATGAATGTTCTTTCAGAATCTTGGCGAACCGAGTATCAATTGAACTTTCAAAGCAGAGGCAGAGACAGTATGTTATTGACTTGGAACAGAACATAAAATTTCTTGAGAACGAAAATGCATCAGTGTCTGAAAAGATCAAGCTTTTGGAGGTGAGACATATCTCATTAGCAACCATAAGCTTTTCATGTCTAATAGATTCCTATAAAAAATTTGGTTATTGATATTGTTGTTATGTACATGTAGAATGATAAAACAATGATGATGAATGAGAAGAAGGAAATCACTATTCGAATTGAATCGTTGGAGCAACAGGCGCAACTTCGTGATGGTACATCATCTTAATTTCTATCGATACTTCAGTGAGTTCTTTGTTGTGCAATTTATAGTAATTGCATGAATTTTGATTGTTTAAGGTTGTTACTCTGGTAATTGCATGAATTTTGTTTATGACACCGCCTATAAAGTAATATCTAATTGTGGAAACAGCTTTAATCTTTTTCGACATCCCACTTATTTTGCATTGAGCATGATAATGTTTACGACGCCAAGATCTTTATGTGGAGTACTTTCCATCAGTAAAAAAAGGGTTAAGAATATATATTGCATAAAAAAATATTTTTGAATAATTTTACGCATTGTTTTACTAGATCTTTAACTGCAAAATATGTTTACTTTTTCCACTATACCGGGAACTTAATGTTTAGGATAAGGTAATTTTTTACTACAATGTATAAACAAAATAATATTTTTGGCTGAGATTTTTAACTAGATCCTTAACCGCAACACCTTCTTAAAAATCAATTTCCAACAGCTCAAGAAACAAGTTAAGTATTGCACAACCATCACGAATTTGATAGATCAAATATGAAAGCAATGGACCCAAACATGTTCAATCGGTCGCAGCCAAACCCTGAATTTAATGGACGAATCTAAGGAAGTTGAGGTGACTTAATTCTATGGGATCAAAGATTGGAGTTATAGTTCTCTTAAGTTGTTTTAGTTTCTCTAACTTATGTCCAGGGTCATGTTGAGGGTAAATCTATATATACATTTTTGGAGTACATTTAGCAAATAAATCCTGGAGTTCCACCTTATTTACGGATGAATGCCATTGGCATTAATTAATTATTTAAATTTGAAAAAAATTAATTAAAGATATTACCAACACGATTTCGAGAATCATAAAATCAGATCTTCCTTAATTTTCTGAGTCATTAATGTGATAATTTTTAGGAAATATTTCTCTGTAAAAAATAAATCCACATTAAGGAAGGCATTAAAATCGACACTAACAATTAAATTATTTAGAGATTCAATTATTTTAAGATTCTTATATCTTATTTGATATTCTTTTTTTTTTTTAATATCTCATTCTTTAATTACTGCGTTTAGAATTTATTGGTTGACATGGTTGTTACTTATTTTTGGTGAAATTTATTGGTTGTTACTTAATAAGTAATTATGGTGCGTTTATTTTAGTTAATATCTAATTTAAAGGATCTTTTTTCTTTTATTATTACTAAACGAATAACATGTATAGAAATAAAAGATTTTTCTTGCGACTCCATAGTAAAAATATTAAACTCTTATTTTCTACATTTTTTACACATAATATCCTCTTATTCAATAACAAGAAATATATATTGCATATTTTTTAAAATATTTATAATATTTAAATTATATAAAAAGTTTGTAATATTAATATTATTTCAACTCTACATAAATAATATATATATATATATATATATATATATATATATATCTTATCGGAACCATTTAAAAGAAAACTTTTAAATTGACTTGAATTATATATCTTTTAAATAAAAGTATTATTAAAAAGAAAAATAACTAAATGATGTTTAATTTCACTGGACGGGTAATATGATGGGACGGGTTTAGGTTGATATTTATAAAAGATAGTATACCACGGGTGAAATCCTAAAATTAACAATCAAAATAATCTATCAAACAAATTACATTTTGATTTTTTTAAGAAAATATAGTCCCGCGGTGTACCGCGGGTTAAAATCTAGTATGATAGTAATTATGAGGCTTCCTTAAGACGATATGACTTTTTTTATTGATTTATTCTTTTTCCAATAAAACTATGTCTTTCTTTTACTAGGTCCAATACTCGCCCGTACATGTGGGTTCTCTGTCCGTAATTTTACTTCTTGATAACGATTTAAATAGTTTGAATTAATATACTTTAATTAAATTATCATCTAAATAATTTAAGTTTAACATCTAAGTAATTGATGTTTCTGTAGTTAAAAATTGAAGTCAGCTTGAAAGTTATAAGTTAAGCAAATATTTTTTATATATTAAAAGAGAAACATTATTCTTGACGTGTCAAACTTACCTTTTCTTTTCGGCTTTTTTTTTTAATTTAACTTAATTAGTTTCTATTTTTTATAGAATTATTTTCTTTGTCAAACATTCATATTTGAATTAGTTCCCTCAATCGGTTTGTCTTATTCAATATGTCGAACACTAATAATTACATTGAGGATGAATTTAATTTTAAAAGAATAGATTTATATTTGTAACAAAATAGATATAATTAATATAAATTATTAGAAATACCCCTTTTTCAAAATACTCTCTTTTCTAGCCATTTTTATTTATACCCTCTTTCAAATTTTAATGACCACTAGATGAATATCCACGCTACGCGTGGATTTGTTTTAAAAAATGTTAAGAACAAATTATGTTGATTGTTCTTGTTGCTAATTTTTTTTTTTTGTTATTGTGTAATTGATAAAATTAAATTCATCTTATATAGTTACAATTTGTATGATTAGATTCATTCTCATGTATAAATTTTATTATTTTTATTTCTAAGATCCTAATATTTTTTCGCCATCATGAACATACAACAACAATATAAGATATTTTTATACAATTACATGTAATTATGTTATTTGTGTGATGTGAAACTCGCCCAACTTGAATATAAAAACAATTTCTTGTTCTGTTAATACTCCAACCACATCGTGATAGACTCATTAGTAGATACAGGATAGACATAAATTGAACAAGATCTCAAGAGTTTTCATATAAAAATAAGAAAAAAAAAAGCAAAAACTAAAATGTTATTTAAGTCAACACTTTTAGACATTCTACCATTACATATAGCCATATAAGAAAAAAGTCGTGTCTTGAATTTTTTGGTATGGTTAACGTCTCAAAGACCCATCACTTGAAAAAACTTTCATGTCAATGTTACTAAATTACCATAAGACACAAAAATATTAAAAAAAAAAAAAAAAGAGAAAACCATATGATAAGTCATATATGAACAACAAAACGTAATAGTGAGAAAGACTAAGGTAAAATTACTAAACTAATAAGATTTTTGTAACAAACAACTAAATTACAACAAAAAACAAATGTTTCAATCATTATCGAATGGTGACCATTCATAAAAATGTTTTTTTTTAAGAAAATAAGAGTATAATGAAAGTAGTGCTTTTTAGTTTTTATTAACATAATTTTGTATTTTTAATTTTTTTTTGAATAAATCACTTAAGAGTAGAATTGATGGAGGATTTAATGCAATAAAGAACTTTTATTTTTTCTCATTTAATTTGGCTAATTGTTTTTTAAATAATCTAGAATGACACATGTCATTTTCTTGTGTGATGATGTGGCATTCATATAGAGAGAGTTGGGCAACTTTCATATATATGATTTTACCTCTATTTGAAAAATAATTAAGTCAACAAAATGACAAAAGTGAATTTTCCCGCCAAAAATCTTTCCAACAAAATTTTCACACCAAAAAAATTTCTAACAAAAATTTTTCCAAATAAAGCTTAATCCAAATGGAAAAATATAAAAGAAAACATATTTCTTTTTTGTCAATAGCTATATTAGATTAACTTTTTTTTTTGTGCAAATACTAGTTTTCATTCATTCAAATCAAAACTAAGCACAAGAAAGATTCAAAGAACCCAAAGTTTAGAACAACATAAAGAGGGGCATTCCCCAATGCCACAAGAAGATAGATAAGATAGATCAACAAAAGTTCCATGAGAGCTATAAGCCAAAAGTTAGACAACATTTTGACGCATGTGAGATCATGAATAGTTGAGAGGTCTTCCACGAACGAGTCGATGGATGATAAGATGGTCACGGTCAAAAGACAAGGTGACGTTGATGAAGAGTCCAAAGTCGTGAATCTCGCTGGTTGGTAGCATAAGATCCGGACCTTGAGGGTGTTGATGGCTAGATGGTGCTTGAAGATGGTAGATAGATTTGTCGGAAAGTAGTATTTGGACATAAATCTTTGGTGACAATAATCACACCGTCGACGTATTGGAATCGGGAACAAAAGACCATAATACTTCAAGTAAAAAGAGTCATAGATCATAGCCATAGATGAATGTAACAGCAGGGTTTTTAGGAAAGACTTGTAAATCCATAGCATCGAAGGTGATTTACATCTCAAATGGAGTCCTTGGCCACTGAGATTACTAAATCGACACAACAATTGACTAAAGATTGACAAATAAAATTCTGAAACAGACCTGGGCTTGTTAAAACTTGGAGGTGGGTCGTAGCAAACGGATTTGGGCTTAGGAGAGGTTAATGGGCCACTTTTGGAAGCAGAGCCCACCAAGAAAAACCCTAGTTTCTCTTCAGCTAGCCAAATTAGGTTGAAAAGACGGCGGCTGTACGGAGATAGTGGTGAGAAATGCAATGAAGCAAGGCTCTCCGGTGAAGCAAGGCTCTCCGTTTGTAACCTGTGGGCATGGCCTTTCCGGTGAGGAAGACCGTCTCCCAGGCAAGAGGATCGTCGTGCGCCGTCGACGTCTTCACCGGGCATGGCGCAACTGACGGTCCAAGAGAGATCTCATGCCATCAACGAAGCCCGATGTAAGGAATCTTCTGGGAAATTTGATAGAGCATGTGCTGTCCGTTCTGGCCAAGAAGCTACGAGCAGAGGGTGGGGGAGGAAGTTTGCCAGACACCACCTCCGTCCAAAGTCGCTGATTGATGCGTAGCCGCCGAGGTATGATGGATTCGAGATGGTTCGAGAGATTTGAAAAAGGGTTACAGATCTGTGAAAATTATTCAAAAAGAGGGGAAAAAAGAAAAACATTGTGAAACAAAGAGAAGCAAGAAAAGTGATATCCCGACGCCGGCAAGCAAGGGCTTCGTCGGCGTCGGAAAGCTTGCTCAGAGAGGGTGTAACACCCGTGTTCCAAAAAGAATGAAATAGTTGTGTTTATATCAGAAATTGGAGTGGAATCGGTTCAATTCTAAATGGTTTACTAAGCTGGTGGAGTGATTGATTAAACCAAAAAATATTAATTAATATCTGGTTTAATTAAATCATGATTTAACTAATTTAAACAAGGAAGCCCTTATTTCTTTTGAGAAGTGGCACTAGCCTCCTCTTTGTCTCATGTGTCGTGACCTGCAAAGAAAAAGAGAGAAAGAGAGCTGGTTAGATTGAAGTTTGGTGAAAG